AACAGACTGAGAACTGTGTCAGAGGATGGGGAAAAAGAAATTCTCGAAGTGAAAAATAGAACAAAAACTAACATGTGACGATTTAGTAAACAGTTTAGACACAATTGAAGATAGAATTAGTATACTGGATGATAGATTGGAAGAAACATCCAAATGAAGCATAGATGAGAAACAGTGAGAAAGTCTAATTAATGAAAAATTAGAATCTCAGGAGAAAAGGGAGGCAGTGGGGAAGCAGCAATGTTTGATTAGAGTGGGACTGAGAGCTCCTCAAAAAGGATGAAAGACATTGATCTACAGATTCAAGTAATCACACAAATTTCAAGCAGAATTTCTACCCTTACGAGAGTAACTTTTTAACATTAGTGATAAAACCAGATCCTAAAAACAGTGAGGGGTGGTAGGGGGAAAAGCTCAAATTACGTTCAAAAGAGCACCAGTTTTTCTGACAATTTATCAAAAGAAACTATGGAAATAGAAGAGAACGGGATGCTATTTTAAGGAGCTGAATGAAAGTATCTGCCAATTTAGAATTTTGTGCCCTGAAAAATTATTCTTTCTTTAAGAAGGAAGGTATAAAAGGACTTACTGAAAAAGCAGAAAGAATTTTTGACCAGGAGATTTAAGCAAAAGAAAACACTAAAAGGAATTCTTCAGGAAGGAGGAAAATGACCTCAGGGTGGACACTCAGGGATACAGGAAGGAATGCAGCACAAGAAGTCCGGTATCTGGGGCTGGTGTTGTGGCACAGCAGGGTAAGCCATCACTGGAGCACGGGAGTGTCATTTATAAGTGAAGTCCTGCCTACTCTGCTTCCAGTCCAGCTTCCTGCTTCCTGCTAAGGCATCCTGGGGGCAGCACATGGTGGCCCAAGTACCCCTGCTACCCCAGGGGAGACCCAGATGGAGCTCCTGGCTTCTGGCTTCGGCCTGGCCCAGCCCTGGCGGTTGCCAGCATTTGAGGGAGTAAAACATTAGAAGATCTCTCTCTGTCTCTGTCTCTGTCACTCTGCCTTTCCAGTAGATGAAAATGAACATTTTTTTTAAAAGTTCAGTATCTAAATCTGAATGTTTTACACTTAAAACAATAAAGAGAAGTATGTCATGGGATTTAAAAACATTTTAGGCTTAATATATGCAATTATAATGACAAATTCATAGTTCTTGTATTGTCTAGGAAGAGATAAAAATACCATGTTAGACATTAATGAGCCAAGGATGCATATCTCTGGGGTAATTGCTAACAGAATAGTAAAATAGAATGTAAAAAACAAGATAACAAATGAGGAATGGAATAAGAAATATTCAGTCCAAAATAAGACAAGGGAAGAGAGAAAAAGGAACACAAAATAGGTAATACAAGTAGAAAACAAGCAATAAAATAGAAAATATTGGTTATTATGTTAAATTTAAATAGACACACAGAGCAGAAGAGACACTGGTTCACTCCCCAGATGGCCACAATGGCCAGGGCGGGGCCAGTTCAAAGCCAGGAGCCAGGAGCTTCTACCAGGTTTTCCATGTAGGTGGCAGGAGCCCAAGCACTTGGGCCATCTTCTGCAGCTTTCCCAGGCCATAGCAGGGAGCTCAATTGGAAGTGAAGTGGCCATGATTCAAACAGGCACCCATATCAGATGCTGGCAGTGTGAGAGGCAGTTTAACCCATAATGCCACCGTGCTAGCCGCTGGTGTGAACTTATTAAACACAGCATTAGCTAACCAAATCCTGCATCATAGAAAAGGTGTAGCACATCACAGCCATGTTGAGTTCAGTTCAGGAGTTCAAGGGACAACTGGACATCAAACATTGTAACCCACTTGAACAGCATAAAGGAAAAAGTGATCATCTCCATAGTAGGTAAGCTTGCTTAATAAAATTTAACATTCATTCATGACTTAAACACAAAAGTCTAAGCAAACAGGAATGGAAGGAAACTTCCTTAATCAAATCAGGTTATCCTCCGGAGGAAGGCTGGGGGCTCAAAAGTGCATCTCTGCTACCAGTCTAGCTCTCCTTGGTCTAACTCAGACCTGCAGACCCTTCTTGCCGCCCAGTGCTCAAGTGGGGAGGAAATGAGCTTCCTACGTCATTTGACTGCTCTGCCTCCACTCCCGTAGATACAGCCACCGGAGCCTTGTGGGAGCGGGTGAGGAGATGCTCAGAGCCGAATACTGTAACTGTGGAAAGCTGATGCACACGTACTTGAGAGCGTTTGCGTGCCTCAGGCCGAAGCGGCCCTGGAGACGTGTCTGAGCTCTCTGGGGACCGTCTGCCTTCTGCTTATGCCTTGTTTCATTGCACTGAGTGCAGTGTGAATGCGGGGCCCTGGTGGGACAGTGCTAATACAGTCATTCTCTGACTCCTGTTGGCACTTCAAACTTCGGGTCCCTGGTGAGCCAGACGCTTGAATCATGTGCATTTGTGTACCCCTTGACCCTCTCCGGGAGTCACCCCTGGCCTCCCACTGCCTCCCCTCTTCCTCCATTTGGCAAACTCCTACTCCTGCACCCCAGTTCCTATAGCCTTCCTCCTGCGGTAGTCCCGGCTCCACCTCCTTGTCTCCTGCCTGTCATCTCTAAGGGTGTTTATTCCATGTTAGAACGTTCAGCCCTGTCTCCTCATTAGGTTCTGAATTTCTTCGAAGAAAACTCTGTGTCTTTATGTTTGTGGAAGGAAACTTCCTGGCTGCATGTCATACTGTTGCATTTCCAATTGCCTCCTCTTTCCGAAGTGACCTGGAAGGGAGGAGGAGGAGTGTGCAACGCTGAGGGTGTAGAGTCGGACTGAGCGCGCCTATCAGCTCCTAATTAAGTTCACGAGCTCAGCATCAACGCAAACAGCTGAGAGCAGAGCTGCCGGGAAATGGAGAAGCTGCTTCTCCCCCTGTTGCCAGCCCATTCACTCACGGCCTGTGTAGAGAAGGCTGCTCGGTGGCCCCCTCGGGCAGTGGATGAGGCTGCTGGCTGCCGCAGCTCCACCTGGCTAAGGAGGTCTAGACCTCAGCGCAAGGAGGCTTGGGGGAAGCTGAGGTTTTCCAAGGGGAGTAGAATGTGCCTGCTAGGACCAGGGGGTCCAGTCCTCAGCCGAACCCGAGGCCGCAGGGCGCAGTCAGAGGAAGCAGGACAGGTGGTGCCGTTGGAGTTTCGGCTGTGGAGCCGGCGATGTTGAGCTCCGGCGTCTACTGGCATTAGCTGGAAGCTCTAACAGTGCACAGCACGGCAGTGTGCAGACCGCAGCCTAGCACGGTCAAGTCCGAATCTGTGCAGAGTTCCGTGGAGCTGTGTCACTGTTCAGAGCTCCCTGCAGGCGATTCTACAGTTGTCTTCGAGTCAAGCGCCGCTGATGTAAACAGTCACTGATGAGTAAGGGACCTGGATTCTGTGTATCTTTCTAAAAAGTGCCTGAACGTAATACTCATGCTTAGCGGTGTAACAAGGGGATTGTTTGGTTTTTATTGTTGTAGACGTGTATAAGCCCGGAAATGGCTTGGATTTGTTTGACAGCTCACCGCATTCCTAGGCGGGAACAGCCCGAGGCGTATTCCCTGGAACTCGGTGTCTAGGAAGCCGCGGGAGACATGGCTGCTGTATCAGTTGAGAATGGTAACAGTGGAGGTTTTAAATCCAGCCCGGAAGAGGAGACGGGGTTTCAGTCTGCAGAAGGGCAGGTGCTGGGGAGGCAAGCGTTTGAGGTGCACAGGCAAGGAGGGGGCTCCAGGGAAGGAGAAAGCTGCCCAGTGGCTGGAGGGGGAAGCCTGAGCCTGCTGCTCCAGAGGGGACGTGGGAGCCATCGGGGAGCCAGGAGTCCGCTCGCTCTCGTTCCATCGAGAGTGCCACGCCCCGGTGCCAGCACTGCATGGAAGGCCTGATCGCAGGCACTATGACTGAGCACTAACCCCTGCGAGGCACTTGCCCTGAGCACAGTGAGTGAATTAACCGGTCAGCTAAGCTGGTCTTCACAACAGCCGTGACAGGTAGGACCCGTCCTTACCTGGCAGCAGAGGAGAAGTGACGCGAGTGGGCTGAACTTTTCTGTGACCTTTCTGTTTCCAATGACCTGTTTTCCCTTCACCCTGACCCAGAGGCCCCAAGATCTGTTATGCTGCACATCAAAATCTGTAGTTAGAAATGTACCCCGTAGGGGCACAGAGGAGGTGGGCACTTGGGAACAATGTCAGACAAGCATCAGAGAGCTGTGTGACACCCGCCCCCCAACTCCCTGTTGTCTGATTTCCTGTCTTGATATGTGACCTCCTTGCTCCCTGCCGTCATCCAAACTGTGAACAAACCTCTCTTCTCTCTCTGTTACCCAGTCTCGGGCATTTCATTATAGTGATGGAAGACTGACTAACACACTAGGTTAGGTGCTGACAGTAGTAACAGATCACACATCCAAGAGTTATTTTTGAAAATCCTGGTGACCGGAGGACAAGCTATGGGGAGGTTAGGGGGTCACCCCTGCTTGGGGAGAGCTGAATTTAACTTCAGTTTTTTTTTGAGTTTGCAGCATGTTGAGTGAGTCTGACCCAAATGTCTTATTGTATTTGGATCTTTAACTTTAAAAATCTGTTTATTTGAAAGGCAGAGAGGGGGATTGGAGGGGAGAGAAGAAGAAAGGGAGAGGGAGAGAGAGATTTCCTATCCACTGGTTCATTTTCCATATACTTGGCAACAACCAGGGCTTGGCTAGGCTGAAGCCAGGAGCCTGGAATTCAGTCCAGGTCTCCCACGTGGGTAGCAGGGATCCAAGTACTTAAGCCGTCACCTGCTGTCTCCCAGGGTGTGCATTAGCAGGGAGCTGGAACTGGGGCTGGAACTGGGACTCAGACCCAGGCACTCAGTATGGGATGCAGGCATCTCAGGGGGCACAAATACCTGCCCCAGTTAAACTTTTTGTTTTAAATACAACCTTATTTTTTGATGTGGATAGAAATAATATTTTTATTTTAATGTTACTTCTTTACCTGCTAAAACACATTTATTTATTATTCTATTTATTAACATGATATTAATATAATCATTGGTATTATCATTTACCATAGCTTATCAGACCAGGATGAAGAGGGTACAACCAGGCAGGACTGCATCGTCTCCGACCCCTCCTTTTCCATGGTGGCGGTCCAGCGGGAGGACAGTGGCATCACCTGGGAGACCCACTCCAGCGGATCTTCCACTCCCTGGGCCTCCGAGGGGAGTCAGACTTCTGGTGTGTACAGCCCAGAAGGGTCAACTGTGAGCTCTCCTCCAGGAAACGTTTCCTTCGTGATGGGTGAAGTCAAAAAGGGTCGGAAAAGAGCTCACAAGTCAAAGCCTGGCTCACCCTCACTGCGCCGGAAAGGCGGCAGGAAAAGGAATTCTGACCCCCAGGCTGTCCCCGCACACAACAGAGACAGCGCTTTAGTTTCAGGAAGCCTGAGCCCCAAGAAGGAGCAGTCCCCTGCGGGCATCTATGACAAGACGAGGAAGAAGACCACCTCGAGCACGCCCCCCATCACCGGGGCCATCTACAAGGAGCACAAGCCGCTGGTGCTGAGGCCGGTCTACATCGGGACCGTGCAGTACAAGATCAAGATGTTCAACTCGGTGAAGGAGGAGCTGATCCCGCTGCAGTTCTACGGGACGTTGCCGAAGGGTTACGTCATTCAAGAAATACATTACAGGAAAGGGAAAGAGGCCTCCATTCGTCTCGAGCCAGACCTGGGCGATCGCGACGCCAGTAGGGCTTCCCCCACGGCCACAGTCGCAGCCCGAAGCCTAGCTGGGGACAGCGTCCGAGAGCCTAGTCCCCCCTGGAGAGGGGCGCTCTCCAAAAGACCCTCGGCCCTGGCCTCACTGACCGCACAGGAGGACCAGAAGGACAGGCTGGTGGACTCTGCGCACACAGCCCCAGGGGCTCCGCCAGCAGTGCCAGAGCAGCCAGCGGCCAAGGAGCTGTCCCCTCCTGCCCTCGGCCCACTCGTGTCCCTGGAACCTGCTGGGCACGAGCTTGAGCCAGTGTCTCCAGGAGCCGCGGCTTCCAAGGGCTCCAAGGCCTGGCCCTCGCCACTGGAGGAGGTGCAGGCCGCGGGCCGCATCCCGTCCCCAGGGGCAGGGCCACCGGGCCTGGCGCCGGCTCCGCTGGAAGCCGCGGCCCCGGATGAAGACCGGCTGGGCCTGCCCTCGCCAGAAAAGGCGGCGCCCGTCCCCGAGCAGTGGACCCCTCCTCACGCCACTGTCGAAGCAGAGCCCGCGGGCCGCGCGCCTGAGCCCCCGGCGTGGGAGGGCGCGGAGAAGGAAGAACCGGAACCTTCCCGGCCCACAGCCGCCTCCGCCAAAGACTCGGACCTGGCGGAGGAGGAAGAGGAGGAGGAGGAGAAGGAGGAGGAGGTGGTCGAGCTGGACTACCCCAAGAGCCCGCTGCCCAGCGAGGGGCCTTTCCCGCCGCGGCGGCCCGCGGAGCTGGAGCCGCAGGACGAGGAGCCCGGGCCGCCAGCCCCGGCAGCAAGCTCGGAGCTGGCGGAGGAGGAAGAGGAGGAGGAAGAGGAGGAGGAGGAGGAGGAGGTGATCGAGCTGGACTACCCCGAGAGCCCGCTGCCCGGCGAGGGGCCGCTCCCGCCGCGGCGGCCCGCGGAGCTGGAGCCGCAGGACGAGGAGCCCGGGGCATGGCCGCCGGGCCGCGCCGCCTGGTCTGAGGAGGAGCGAGAGGAAAGCGAGTCTGTTTCCACGGATTCTGCTTTCGTGTCGGAGTTCTCGGGGCCGCGGGATTCGCACCGCAGCCCCGAGGAGCCAGAGCCGGAAGCCGCGTCTCCTCCTCCCCGAGGGAAGGCCGCCGCGGGCTCGGCAGGAGAGAGCGAGGCCCCGGGGTGGCGGTCCCCGCTGTCCCCGCTGTCCTCCACCGCGTCCTCCGCCGCCGAGAGCGGGCGCTGCTCTCCACAGGCCTCGCCCGCCTCCGACGACCTGCGGTCCGCAGGTGCGGCCTCGGCCCCCGAGCCGCCCGTCTCCACACTGCCCGCCGAGAGGACCCCTGAGCGCCTGCCGCCGCCCCCTACGGCCGCCTCCGAGCACCTCGGCCCCTCAGGAGGGGACAGAGGACGTGAGCGTGTCACCCCCGATTCCAAACTGGCCTCCGAACACGCGGTTCCCCCGGACGCCACACAGGAATCCCGGAAGGAAGCCATCGGAGACGTGCCCCAACTCCGATCCAAGGGTGTTCCTGAGCCCACAGTGCCATCGGATGAAGAGAAGGAAGAGGCCGGGCCACATCCCCCACCTGCGGCCTCTGTGTCTGACCACGCTCTCCCACCCCCCACACCGGAGAGGACCCCAGAGCTCCAGCCCCCACTGCCCCCTACTGCTACCGTGGAACTCCAGGTCTCACCCGGAGAAGGTTCAGGAAGTGAACGTGTCACCCCAGATTCCAAACACATTTTCAAACACGCGGTTCTACCAAATATTTCCCAGGAATCCCAGAAGGAAATAATCCATGATGTGTCCCAGCTGAGATCAAAAGGGATTTCTGAGCACACGATCCTGTCAGGAGAAGAGAAGGAAGATGCCAGACCACAGCCCCAACATGTGGCTTCTGTGTCTGAACTCCCTCTGCCACCCCGCACAGCGGAGAAGACCCCAGAATGCCAGGCCCCGCTGCCTGCGATGCCCCCAGCTGAACACGGGGTCATACTGGAAGGGGCGCCAGTGGAGGGCGAGCGCTACACTCCCTCTTCCAGGTCCGCTTCTGGATTTTCAGTGCCGCCATTCGCAACCCCGGAGTCGCTGGAGGAGGAAATCATCTGTGCTTCCCCTCTGAACCTAAAAGGGGCCTCCTCCCCAGAGATGTTCTCAGAACAGGAGCATGACGACGTTGGACCTTTTTCTCCAGACTCTGCTTTTATTTCCGAATTCTCATTTCCACCCTCTGCAGCACAGGACGCAGAGAGAAGAGAACTCGAGTGTGGTTCTCCGCTGTACTTAACCTCCCCGTCCGAACACACGGTGTTCTCAGATGAAGACACGGAAGAAATCGACCTCTTTTCTCCAGACTCAGCCTCGCAAGTGTCAATCCCACCCTACAGGAGCCCAGGAACAGAGAAGACCGAAACGGAGCCCTGCTCACGGATGCCTGCCAGTTCTGCTTCCAGTTACCCCTGCTTTTCCGGAACAGATGAGGACGACGGCGGGTCAACTGCTGCCACCCCCACGCCTGAGCACTTGGATTCTTCACCAGGGCAGAACACCCCCGAAGCAGTAAGTCCGCCACCTTCAACAACGAAGGCGGAGGAAGCAGAAATTAAGCCAGACGCTCACGTGACCTCAACACCTGTTTCTGAATATCTCGGCAGGATGCAACAGCAGAGAAGTCAAGCAGTTCTAGAGCCTGAGAGTGAAGAGTTGATTCTGTCACGTTTAACCAGTGAGCTGGAGAAGGGAGACGTCAAGACCAGCTGGTCAGTAGCCACACCTCCGTTGGCACCTGCACAGTCATCCGTGGGGAAGGAGGAGACCCGGCCTGTTTTGCCTGCATCCCAGCCTTCAGCTTCACTGGATTCAGCCCATGCCACGGAGGAAGAACAGGAACGCCAAGCGTCACTCACTCTGAAAGCTGTGAACGAACAGATGGCGCTGCAGGAAGTCAGAGAGAAGGCAACAGTGCCTGATTCTCAAGGAGCCACAGCACAGGCATCGCAGGCTCAAAAGGTGGAGCCGCAGCTTCCAGACGTTCTCAGGTCCGAGATGAAACCGTCAGCTCTGCCTGACGCGGTAGAGGAGCCAAAGAAGGAAGTCAAACCCAGTTTAGCTGGAAGTGCAGCTTCCAGACCCGAACCAGAGCAGACAGTGTTGTCCGAGGGTGAGCCTGTGGGAATAAACCCTCCTTTACCCCTGAGGGAGACAGCTCTGTCTGGACATGAGGTTTCATCAGGTGTGAAAATGGAAGTGAAACTGGACTCCAAAGCAGCAGGGCCACCCGGTACAGGAAAGGAAGGTGAAGAGGGTCTACCTGCACCGGCATTTTCAGCATTGTCAGAAGAAATAAAGAAAGAAATTGAACCCAGGTCCTCCACAGCCACAGCGCCTCTAGCTAAGCCCGATGCGAACCTTACCAAATTGGAAAGAGATTCAGGTGCCTCTCTTGCTACCCACGTGGAGGGTGTGGTCCCAGCCCAAGCAGGACAAGATGCCCTAGGAGGTGTTTCGGTGCCACCTGCGAAACCTGAAAGTGTGCGTCCGGTTCTTAGAGAAGAGGCAGTGATTGAAAGTGCTGCTTCTCTCACTGAAACGTCTTTGTCCAAAGGCTCTGCTCGGTCAGAAGCAGAGAAGGAAATTCAACTGCCTTCCCCTCCACGCATGCCGTCTGCATTGGAGCATGCTACTTTGCCGAGGGTGGAAACTGAGGACGTGAAACCCGAGTTGTCAGTAACCACGATGCCGTCTTCTCAGCGTTCAGAAGTGTTTGAGGAAGCCGGGGTGGGAGATGAACAGGATGTGTCACAGTCTGCAGTCCTCGACTCTGAGCACGTGGTGTTGTCAGCGAAGGAGCCCCTGGCAGCTGTCTCAGCAGCACCAGGGCCTGAACACGAGCTTTTGCTGGAACTGGGTAGTGGGCAAAAGCGAGAAGAAGCCGAATTCCATCTGTTGCAGAATGTGTCGCCTGCAGCCCAACACGCAGTTCCCAAAAGCGAAGGGGAGGAAATGGCAAGCTACTCCAAGGTGGATGTTTTAGCATCAGAAGATTCAGCCCTGACTTTCCTGACCCCCACGCGGGCGATGGAGACGTCTTTGGCAGCCCAGAGAGGTTTCCTGTCAGAAAACTGTGATCTTGTTCAGGCAGAGCGGTCGTTAGAGCCGGAGGAGGAAGTAAGACCACAGGAAGCACCAGAGTTGCCAGAGCCCGTATCTGCTTGCACTAAAGGTGGAGATAGTGGCTCTGTACGGGCAAAACAAGCAAGATCTCTGGTAGCAGAAGCAGTGGACTCCATCTTAGAAAAGAGTCCCGCTGAGCTTAGGCAAAGAGGAGAAGACGAAACCAGGGAGCTTCTCATGTCTACTGTAGAACTGTCAAAGGCCACGTCCAGCCTCCATGTGGAACAGGAGCAGCCAGAAAAAGCACGCCATTCAGATCAGGTGGTTGGATCGCCTGATGTAGGTGGGTCTTTTGTGGGTAGAGAAGATCTGGGCACTAAACAACTTCTAGTTATGAAAGAGAGTTTGCCTTTGGAACAATCAAAATCGTTTGTGACAACTGAGCCTGCAGGTATCAAAGAAACAAAAGTGAAAGAGCCTATCATTTCTCCAGAGGATGAGAACAGGACACTGGGAAAGCCAGAAAATATGGCCAGCGAGCAGCAGGAAGGAAGGCAGGCGTCCGTGCAGCTGGATTCTGCTGAGAGCGAGGACCACATGCCAGTACAGTTTAAGGCTGGGGAGACCTTGTCCACTAAAGCTGATTCTCCCGAGGAAAGACAGCTGGCTCACAAGCCAGCCCCTTTAGTTCTGGCTGGAAACGTAGAGGGAAACACAGCAGAGGAGGTGCAGACCTGTTCTGTGGTGGCCGGGGATCATTTGACATCACAGAAGGCAGACACAGAGCTCCCCAGGCCATGCAAGGAGGAGAGCCAGGAAGAAACCAAGCTACCTCTTGCAGGAACTCTCCAGAAAGCAGAGTCTGGTCTATTCGCAGAGGAAGGGAAGCCAGAGGCTATCCTGTCTCCTGCCCAGGCAGCCCGTCTCCCGGCTGATGTTAGGGATCCTGCTCGGGGCCATGAACAGGAATCTCGTGGACACACCCCTCCATTACCTGCAGAGAAGCTGCTAGAAGAGGCAAGAAGGGTCCCGCCAAAGGTTGTAGGTGATGCTGACGAGGAAAAGGCACCCGCCCCTGCAGTGGAAACTCCCCCTCAAAGGTGGCCCCTGTCCCCCATCCCAGCCAAGGAGGAACCTCTACCCCAGGATGCACCAGACGAGGTGCAGAAGCTGCCCGAGCAGCCAAAGGCAGCAGAGCCAGCTGTCCCTCAGGAAAAGGGAAAGAGAGGGATTTCATCTTTCAAATCCTGGATGTCTAGTCTGTTCTTTGGATCAAGCACTCAAGATACCAAAGTTGCTGAAAAAGATGTGGAGTCTCTGCCAAGTCCCTCTGCAGCGAGCACAGGGACTGTGAGAGTGCCCGAAGGGGAGAGTCCCGCTGAGCGGAAGGCAGCCGGGAAGCCGGGAGCAAGACCTGCAGCTGCCGAGGGACCCCGAGAGGCCATGGTTACACCTGGGGAAGGCCAAGGCCTTAAAGACACGCTCACAGTTCTATCGAAGGTGGAAGTTTCGCAGCAGGCACGGTCCAGCCCTGAGGCATCTAGAGAACTTGGAAGGGAAGAAGCTGCACCCTGCCCAGGAGAGGTGGACAGGAACTCAGCAGCTCCTCCTGCTCCTGGCGGGGACCATGTGGGAATTCAGCCCTCTTCTCCCACGCCTGAGAAATCTGCCCCAGTTACTGATAGTAAAAGATACCAGAAGCCAGTGATTTCTCCTCCCTCAAAGTGGACCATTTCTGTTCAGGAAGAGCCAAGAAGTGACCAAAAAGAAAAATCACTGTTTTCATTTGATGTTGTCAGTAAGGCGCCACAACAGCCCAAACCAGCTTTATCTGACGTCACAAGCAAGAATATCATGGGGGAATCAGAGAAGCCAGAGTGGATCATTTCTCCTGGAGAAGAATCAAAAGGCAGACTAGCTGCTCTTGGAGAAGGCAGACGAAAGGAAGACCTGCTAGAATCCACTTCCTCAGGAGGTTTGGAGGAAGACATAAAACTCAGGTCTGCTGGCTGCACGGAGGAGAAAGGTGACTTGGAGACCAGATCCTACACCTTGGCCGAAGGGCAGGAAACGGTGGCCCTGACACAGCTCAGAGAAGATAAGGAGCCAGGAAAGGCACGTGTCATGCACAAAACAGAAGAATCCAAGATACCCATACCGCCGACGCTCATCGATCAAAATGGAGACCACAAGGAAAGCTCCAGAATTGCTGTTGGTTCTGAGGAGGAGAAGGGAGAAGAAAAAGAGAAGCAGCAGCAGGAATGGGCCAGGTCTGTGCCTGAAGAGTCGGATATCACTTTAGTTCATTCCAGGGGTGAAACGGAACCATTCTTGGTAGTTAAAACGGCATCAGTTATTGAGACACCCGAAAGCGTGATCTCAGAGGCTCGCCCTGAAATCAGGGAAGCAAAGGCGGGAGGAGTCCCACCACACCTATTAGAAGAAAGTAGAGTTTTGGGGGAAAAAACCCAAAGTTTCCGTCCAGTGGATCTTCCTTGCCGCAGTGAAATGGATAACCACTCCGTAGCTCCAGAGGGAGACCTGGTGTTTGAAAAACCAGGCAGGGGCACGGCAGGCCCCAGTGAGGAAAAGGGTCAGGTGCCACCGTCAGAAGCATCTGAAGGTGGTTCAGTCGCTGTCGGGAAAGAAAGAGCGAAGCCTGGCGCTCTGTTCAAAGACTCCCAGAGGGCTTTGGATCACCTTTCTGAGGATGCAAAGAGCTTAGAAACTCCACTGTTGCCATCACCTCTGAAACCACAGACTGCCGCTTCGGAAGAGTCTACAGACATACATGCAGTGGAGAAGCAGGACGTGCCACTGTCGGAGTGGACTGCAGAGCGCCATACGGTCCATACCAGCCAAGCTAGGGACCGCGCCCCCGATGTGCCTCACCAGGCCGTTCTCATCTCAAAGCACCACATGGTGGCCGTGGAGGATGCCCATGTAAGTGAACCGTCGTCTCCAGCAACAAGCAACTATGCCCAATTTATAAGCAGCGCATCAACAGCCAGCGCTGATAAAGTGGCTCCTGCTAAAGAAACACGGGAGGAGGCTGAGGACGCATTCACAGTGACCAGCAAGCCAGCCGGGCTTTCAGAAGATCAGAAGAGTGCCTTCATCATCATTTCTGAAGGCTGTGAGATACTGAATGTCCACGCCCCTGCCTTTATTCCTTCAGCTGATCAGGAGGAAAGCGAACAATTGCAGGATAAGTTAGAATATTTGCAAGAGAAGTTCCCAATTAAAACCACGGCGCTCCGTGATGATAATGAGGCAGCTGCTGTCCCCAGAACATCAAAGAGCAACTTAGAAGATTCTGGCAGAAAACTCCCATCTTTCAAAGAAAATGAACAAAACGAAAGTTATAAAACAGAAGAGGAGATACCCACAGAATCGGAAGCTGGTGATTTAGCTTTTGCTCAGCCCACAGTCCCCAGTGAAGAGGATTACTTTGAAAAGTATACTTTGATTGATTATAACATCTCGCCAGACCCAGAAAGACAGAAACCTCCACGGAAATTAAATGTTGAAGAGGAACCCTCAAAGGAAGCAGCCAAAGAAATGATCTCTTTTCCAGAAAGTTCAGAGGAAACCGTCCTGGAGCAGGACTATGACTTGGTGAAACTGGATGAAAGCTTTTATGGGCCGGAAAAGGACCACAGCAAGTTACCTCACCCAGAGCCCCAAAAACCTTTTGTTATCCAGAAATCGCCTGATGAAGACGCTGCAAAGGGATTGCGCAGAGATGCAGAGTCCAGATCTCCTGGGATGCCTTTATTCGACACAGAAGAGGGAGTTTTGTCGAGAACCCAGATATTTCCTACTGTGGCCAAAGCCATTAACCCTGAGCTTCTGGAGCAGCCGCCTGCACTTGCATTTTTATATAAGGATCTGTACGATGAGGCAGTTGGAGAGAGAGAGCGCGACGAGGAGACGGCTTCTGAAGGAGACAGCGTGAACTCGGAGGCTTCATTTCCAAGAAGATCTGACGCTGACGATGCAACAGGAATGTATTTCGAGAAGTACCTACTCAGAGACGACATCCTCCACGACACTTCTGTAGCTCAGGAGGACCAAGGCCAGGGTCTGGAGGGAGAACCCATTGGTGAGGATGAGTCCTACCACCTGATAGCTGCAGAAGGGGAGATTTGGGGCAAGTCTGGAACTGTTCTGGGGAAGGCGACTCTGGAAGGGGAGCAGAAAGCTGCGTACAGGGAAGGGGAAGCCGAGGGCCGCGTGGAGACCCCTGGGGATGCAGCCGTGCTGCCGAGGGAGGCACCCGTCATTGAGACAGTCTCAGCAGCCACCCAGAAGGTGAGCTACGCGATTCCGTTTGTCGACACTCGTCACACTCTGGCACACGTGGAGGGGGCGACCAGTCAGGGAAATGAGGCAGCGCATGCAGGTCCAGAGAGCGGCCTGAATGTCCCCGAACAGGTGTCCTTCCCGGAGGAGGAGCCTGTATCTGGTGCAGCTTATGCTGGAGAAATGCCACTAGAAGGACCTTCAGTACCGGTCCCCACTGAGCCGAGCCAAGAGAGGCTCCGCAATAGCCCTGTCCAGGATGAGTACCCATTCGCCGAGTCTGTCAGCTACGCAGTTGTCGGTGAAGACATCTCATCGCAAGAACTGTGTTCAGAAGCCGTGCCTGGAGACGAGCTACCACCTCAAGGCCAGGAAGCCTTGGAGCCCATCAGCACAGATGCACTCATGAGGGAGACAGAACAAAGCTCATCGGCCAGACAGGAAGATTGGGGCAGAGAGACGACTGCCCAAGACCAAGTGTCCCCAGAGTCAGTGACCGAGAAGGCACCAAAGGACCTGAAAAAGCCCCAGATTGACACGTACTGCTACACCTGCAGGAGCCCAATCTCCACTCTTGACAAGGTGGCGGGCACCCACAAAGACCACGAGGTTTCCACGCTTGACACAGCCATAAGTGCTGTGAAGGTGGGTGCATTTCACAGCTTACAAATAACAGCACAAGTGCATTAAGTGTGTGTTCCTGTTGTCTTAATTTTGCAAATGATCAATATTTGATGCATTTCTCTTAATGCTGAAGGATTTGCTGAAAGCAGACAGAGAACACTTCTCCAGGAGCTTGGTTAAGGTTGGGTTGACAACCATTTATTTATTTATTTATTTGACAGGCAGAGCTAGACAGTGAGAGAGAGAGAGAGAGAAAGATCTTCCTTCCATTGGTTCACCCCCCAAATGGTCGCTACAGCCAGTGCGCTACGCCGATCTGAAGCCAGGAGCCAGGTGTTTCCTCCTGGTCTCCCCTACAAGTGCAGGGCCCAAGCACTTAGGCCATCCTCTACTGCACTCCCAGGTCACAGCAGAGAGCTGGACTGGAAGAAGAGCAACCGGGACAGAATTGGCGCCCCAACCGGGACTAAAACCCGGGGTGCCAGCGCTGCAGGCAGAGGATTAGCCTAGTGAGCTGTGACGCTGGCCGACAACCATTTATTTGGTATTCACCGTGAGCCAGGCATTTTTAGAGTCTGGAGACACCAGGATACATAACCACTGGATCATGCCTTTGAGGGGACTCTTGTAACAGTATTAACCCTTATTATAAAAATTGCCCAAAACTTTAAATTAAAAAAAAAAAAAACTTTTGAGTATAAAATCTCACTTACTTTCTATCCTCTTCAATATTATCCTCTAAACATTGAGCAATTTTATCATAAGTTTTACAGAAATACTCAGAAAGTAAGACGTTGTTAAATTCCAGTTTGCTCCATGCTTCCTTTGCATTTATAAAATTTATATTAGACATAGAGAATCCACTCAGAATACTCAGGTGTATTGGGCCAGTTCAGCAAATATGAATGTATGGAGGGCCAGCACCGCGGCTCACTAGGCTAATCCTCCGCCTAGCGACGCCGGCACACCGGGTTCTAGTCCCGGTTGGGGCACTGGATTCTGTCCCGGTTGCCCCTCTTCCAGGCCAGCTCTCTGCTGTGGCCAGGGAGGGCAGTGGAGGATGGCCCAGGTGCTTGGGCCCTGCACCCCATGGGAGACCAGGAAAAGCACCTGGCTCCTGGCTCCTGCCATCGGATCAGCGCGGTGTGCCGGCTGCAGCGCGCTGGCCGCGGCGGCCATTGGAGGGTGAACCAACGGCAAAGGAAGACCTTTCTCTCTGTCTCTCTCTCTCACTGTCCACTCTGCCTGTCAAAAAAATAAATAAATAAAAAAAATAAAAAAAATATGAGTGTATGGAAATTAGGCCTCACCAAGGAGAAAGCATTCATGCCCACTGTTCCTTAAAACACGGAGCTCACTCATTTCCCAAGAAGATAAACTGTCTGTAGAATTACCTGGGGGCTTTTACTCACAGGACCTCTAATTGGCTATCATACAGAGTTATCTAGAGTCAGTTTAGATGAAGCAGCAAAGACAGTTTGAAGATTGATTTATCAGCGAATGCAGTAGGGTAAATCAACTTAGAAGCAGTTGGAGGCCACGCCTGAAGCTGTTTGCCCACGTGTCCTTTATTAAGAACATCCTCATTCTTTTCTTCAGGTTCCAATTAGCAGAATTTCTAGAAAATTTGCAAGAGAAGTCCTTGAGGATTGAAGCCTTTGTCAGTGAGATAGAGTCTTTTTTAACACCATCGAGGTAAGTTCGCACTGCCATTTCTCTTTGTTTCTGTCTGTGGTTCTGAACTGAAAGGGGCTGACTTGGAGTTGGTGTGCATGGTTGTTGCCGTCGATGCTTTTGTTCTGTTCAGAATAAGGATTTTGGAGTCTCCCCTGTGTGTGTAACTGGCCAGACAACTCTGCCGACGGATGAAAGATTTGCCTTTGAAACATCCATGCATTTATTGAGCACTTACACAGAGGGCGGTACTTTCATGTGCTTCATCTAATTTAATCCTCACAGTGACCATTTTACAGATAAGAAGTTCAGACTTAAAGTTAACCTCCGGAGGGTATTAAGATGTGGAGTAGAGGAGGAGCTTACCACTCCAGGCTAGGAGAAGATAGCTTAAAAAAAGTGGAGAGTGCAGTCTCAGGGACGAGTTAGGGAGAAAATGGAGAGGAAACTCCACGTGAATTAGAGGGACCAGCAACCTGCGTGGAGGGTGTGGCACACACAATCAGGACCCCAGCAGCCGAGAGCTCCTGCACATTTGGAGAGAGGGAGACTGGGCTGCAGCAAGCCCAAGCCACTGGTGATAAAGCTGCAGGAAAATCCTGGAGGAATCTGGCTTGGAGCCCTGCAGCGGATAGTGTCCCTGCAGAACTAGAGGAGAAGAAGCGTGGGCATGTTTCTTCTCCTCCCTGATCACCTACAGTGACATAGCCCCTTCAGCAGTGCCATTTTGGCATAGGTACAGGAGTGCCAGCTCGTGTCTGTGCCCAGCAACCAGCCGAGCAGAGACTCCTGAGTCTGGCGGGGAGAACTGGTGGGGGACTGGGTGCTCCTGACTGCAGGAGGCTTGTGTGCCAGGACTGTGAAAACATGGAGACCGTGGGGCTTTGACAACCCAGAGGCTGTGTGGGGAGGCTCAGGGGGTGGCTGGGACTTTGGGCAGTCACTGTGGGAGGCTCCACACCCTCAGGGCTCCCTGTTTCCTGGGGAGGGACACTGCTGGGAGTCTGCCTACACCAAGACTGCACGGATCCTTTGTATTGTCCCTGTGGAAGTGAGGATGAAGATTATACCCACTGGGGCTAGCGCCCAGGCATTGGTCTCCTTTGAGGAGAGGAAATGAGCTGAGTCTATGCCAACAGAAGAAAAACCTCCAATCTGATATTAAAAAAAGAGGGATTTACCGTGCCAACTTGGGTGTCACATGACTCCCCCAAAAGACTACCACACTTCAATACTAGATTGTGAAGATGAAGAGTTTGAAGAAGTGAGAGAAATGGAGTTCAAAAATTGATCATAAAATTACATAGAAGTATCAAAACAAATGCCACAAACTAATGAAATCTGTACATGATATGACAGAAAATTTCTCCCAAGAAATTGAGATCTTAAAGAGAAACCAAAGTGAAATCTTGGAAATGAATAATTCATTAGAACAAACAAAAATGCAGTGGAAAGCCTTAAAAACAGAATCAGTGAAGCAGAAGAAAGAATATCCGATTAGAAGAAAAATTAAAGGAAATTATATAGTCAGAAAAAAACAAAGAGAAATTAGAAAACTAAAAACACTGTTGGAAGCCACAGGATACTATCAGATAACCGATATATGGGTTTTAGGGGTTCCTGAGGCATGAAGAGAAAAAGGATGACAGGGACTTTTTAGTGAATAATAACAGAAAACTTCTAATTTGGGAAAGAAAGGGACATCCAAGTACAGGAAGCACATAGAACTAATAGACATGACCAGAAAATATCCTCACCATGACACATTGTAATTAAAGTCTCCACAGTAAAATATAAAGAAGATTCTAAAATGTACATGAGGAAAAAAGCC